GAGATCTGAGACATAAAGACCATCTATAGTTGTTACTCTACTCAATCCTACATAGTGTATGTGAGGAATTGCTCGTTTTGTTTCAAAATTAACTACAACCTTTGTTTCAGTATCACCTTGTGATCTATGTATAGTTTTGGCAGCAGCAGGTCTTAATGGAAATTGTTTTCTTACAACTTGCACAGATCTTGTTCTGCCTATGGCAAACTGTGTAGTAACAGGTTTGATTGGTGTCCATGTTGGTTCAATACCATTGACATATAGCTGTCTATTATCATGTCTGGTTTTTTGACCAACATCAGCATGGTCAAACTGAACCCATATTATACCTGATGGTTTATCAGGGTGATGTATTTGTATTAGTTTGATAACATTACCAGCACCATTGGYCATACCATCATCTGTTCTAGTATTAAGAGATATCTCTGTTCTTTCTCCTACTGCTACATGTAGTACAGAATGCAGCTGTTTAGTTTTCCTAGGATCAGTAGGTACTTGTTTTAATACTTTATCTCTGAGTTCCTGAGTCTCAACTCCAACTACACTGTCATGAGCTTTAATAGAATACTTGGTGCCTGATAGTGCATTGTGAGCTCTGTCATTGAAATTATTCACTTTTGCATTTTGAATGAACAAATGTGGAGCATCTTTTGGATAGCTTGAACTAGTTGCAGAAATACATCTATCCTTTAATTTTGCAATGTCTTCTTTAGTGTGATTACCTTCTCTTAATCTATTCAATAATTCAGCAAAGTCTTTGTTTTCTCTTTGTCTCATTATTTGCTGGAGTTCWAACATTTTAAAAAGTTCTTTCCATACATTAGGTGCAAGAACACCATACTCRTCATTATCCATGTCTTTGAATATATAACCATCCATTACAGGCTGTAGTTGGAACAAATCTCCTATACCAACAATACTAACACCACCAAATGGTAGTGAGCTTCCCTTGATGTCCTTAAGTCTATTMTATRTTTGAACATTGAACATCGTGTTCCCCACCATGGATATTTCATCAATGAATATAAGTTTAATTCCACCAAGCTGACATCTTATTGTGTTCATTCTACTTGAATCAAGACTTTTATATCTCTTTAATGACTGACAGGCTGGTATTGCTAGAGCACTATGAATAGTATTTCCCTTTATATTGTATGCTGCTTTCCCTGTAGGTGCTAACATTAATACATTTGCTTCATTAAAGTTAATACCTGGTCTGGTGTTATAGTATTTCAATGCTGCCTGATACAAGGCTTTTGTAACATGTGATTTACCTACACCTGCACCGCCACTCAGGAAACAGTAAAATGCTTCATCTGATGTTTTTATCAAATGCAGCACATGATAGAAAAACTCTTTTTGCYGTTTATTTAATGTTTGAACCATATGTCTGTATTCGTCATCTGGGAGTTCATTCATTATGAGAGGTTCAGTATTATCAACTGATGGTATTCCCAAATCATCTGATAAGTTATAGTTTCCTGAAAAGTCAGGATGTAAGTCCTGATTACCTTCTGCTTGATCCTGCTGTTCAATATTCTGTGTACTAGGTGCTATTTCATCATACCTGTCCTCTATTCTACTCATATCCTGCTGAATTTCATTGAAGTCTTCACAAACAGCATATTGCTTCATTTGTTCTTTAATCATRTTAGAGACTGACATAAAGCGATCTTGATATGATGAAAAATTTCCTATTAAGTCAGTGTCCTCATTTCTCCATGGAGTAAAGAGCATCAAGAGCTCACGATAATGTTTTTCTGGTTCAGTTTGCACATTAAACCATACACTTCGTATTATCCGAGCTTTTGTTCGTTTTTTGGTCTTAGAATTTGATGTATTTGAGCAATCATCATCATCATCATCAT